GGGAAGGGAAAAGAGACCTCTGAGAACACTGGTTTGGGATGTTTCAGTGGGTGATGTATATAACCAAGGCTATGGGATCTCAACTGGATATCACATCCCAAGTCATTTGACTAACTCACTTTCTTTGTAGGATCTTGGTTTATTTATCACCAACCTCTCCAGGAATGCTGAACCACTGATCCTTGCATACCCATTTCACCATTCACAACAGCACCCTTGATACATGAGAACTTCTATACTCTCCCCATGGGGTGCTCCCCACCTCTCAAACCACCCATTAAGAAAAGTAGTTCATTTTTCTGACGAAGGTTAAGTGAGAACTCTTCTCATACTAGGTGATTTAAGGCCACATCCTCTCCCTCTTCGGAGCCTCAATTTCTTCATCTTTGCACTAGGTAAGAAATCCTTCCCTGCTCCCCATGGGGCTAATGCATGTGAAGCCTCGAACATATCAATAAAAGGGAATTTGCTGTGTGGATTGTATTTTGCTTTGAGGCAGGGTTTTCTGCAGCTCAGGCTAGCTTCAAACTCACTATGCAACCAAAGATGACATTGAACTCTTGACCCTCCGTGTCTGAGGTGCCATGATCACAGTGTGCTCCACCATGCTTAGTTTGTACAACACTCAGGATCAAACCCAGGGCTTCATGATGCAGGGCAAGCAATGCACCACTGAGCCTCAGCTCTGTCCCTAAACATAAAGTGGTATAATTATGGGAAGGTCTCATACTGTCTCTGAACTCCTGCGCTGCTCATCAGATATGTGCGGGACTTTTAAGTGAGTGGCCCTGTAGAAGTGAGACTCTGAGAAATGACTCCATAGGTTTGCCAAATGAAAGTGTCCTGCTTAAAGTAAGGGCTGAAATTGGGTGTCCCTGTCTCTAGTGCCCAGTGAGTCTTGAGTCAAGGGGAAAGTGGGGTTTCTAGCGCGGTCAAGCCAGGGTCACACCCCAAGATAGAGGTGACCCTGCAAGGGATACTGCTCCTCAAGCAGTCATTAATGGCTACTCTCTGGTGCCCACCTATCTATCCATTCCAGGCTTTAAGGCCTGTTGCATCTCTGTGCTAGGTGGGAGAGACAGGGATGAACCCAATCAGGCCAGGCTGTGCCTCCTGGGCTTCACACCAGGTCTCAGGCTGGCACAGCTCCACAGCCTACTCTACCAGAGTGAAACAAGGGAAGATTGCTACCCACCAAGATCTTCTGGATTTCCTCGTTGTCACACTTCACATGATATTTGACGATGTCCTGGAAGATGTCCTTCCTGTTTTCAAGTCTGTTCATGGACTCGTAGGTGTCAGGGTTCAAGACTGACCAGCCCAGGAACTGAGTCAAAGACTGCACAGAAGGAAAGAATTAGAGGCAGCGGCAACTTGGGTCCCGGTGCTGACCGGGAGCGAGACTATCGAGACCTCTGTTTTCTCAGCTATAAAGTGGGTTTGCAAAGCTATGTGGGGCAGGCAGGCAGTGATAAAATAATGGAGGTCAATGCATTTCAAACGAAGGTTTATAAAAAAAAATGACGGCACAAAAGTAAAAGTGTGGAGCTAGCAGGAAGTACACAGGACCTCTGCGCTTTCTCATGAGTTCTCATGTTAACCTGAAACTGCCCCCAAACGTGAAGTGTATTAACCTTATGGGACAGTGAGGAATGGACATGGAGAAAGTAGCTCTCGAGTCTCCTCAGGACCATGTCCCCCCCATCCCCGCTTCTGGTCAGGCAGTTACACCCTAGGATCCCACCATGAAGTTCTGGAGTCCAAGCCTGAAGTTGGTGGACTCTGAACCACGCCAGGCAAGGGTCACCCAGCATCCCGCACCTCCATGAGGGTCTCGTCCATGTCGTCAAAGGGCTTCCCATCTTTGCGGTTGTAAAACGTGGCCACGCCGACGATCTCTTCCTTCTTGTTGACGATGGGCATGGAGAGCACATTTTTAATCATCCACCCAGACTCATCCAGGGGCTCCTTCTGCAAGAGAACGGCAGGGCTTCAGACTCCACCCATTCCATGCTGCACCGGTGACTGAGATAGACGCGGGGCTGTGGCTGGACCTCAAGGACCTGGCTCAGCTGAGAGGACAGAGCTCAGATCTTGTGTGGGCTTAACGGCTCAAACACACTGTGAATTAATTCCCTATGCCGGGAACAATGGTTCCCATCCCCACAATGTCAGGCCTGGCAAGTGCCAGGCATAGTGTTAGATGCCAGGATCAGAAACATCCCAGACAGGGAATAAGGAGCCTAAGCCCCGGTCCTGAGGTCAGAGGGTGACGGATGTGCATTGTCTTGACACTGAAAGGGACCTTGGGATATAACCAATTGGCACCTTCTTCCCTTCCCAAGAAAGTAGGCCGATCCTGGTGTATTCTAACATTCTTTCCAGAGAAAGAAAGAAAAGAGCCACTTGGCTAAGAGAACGAATAAAAATGGCTTACCTGGAATGCAAAAAAGTCCTCTGCCGGCGCATTCATTATATTGCAGATCTGCAAGCCGGGAGGGGAATAAAGCAGCTGGTCAGGGCTGAGTAAGAGCCTACAAGTCCCCTCACTATTCAGGACACAGGTCCTTGCCCAAGGTGGCGCTGTCCTCACCAGGTGGACAGATTCAAAATGGCTCAGGGTTGATAACTGAGGGTACCAGATAGGAAAGGTCACCAGGTAGAGTTTCTTTTTACTGTTACACTCTTGAGGCATTTCTAGGCTTTAGAAAAGGCCAAGCGTACAGCTGTCATTATTAATAACTACATAGTATCCCATCCTGCGGTTCTTTTGTTACGTATTTGCATGTTCAGGTGCCTGTGTGTGCGCGGGTGTGCATGAGTGTCCTGTTTTCTTATTTTTATTTTATAGGCTTTGTTGTTTTGCCTATATGTAAGTCTGTGTGAGGGTGTCAGACCTTGGAATTACACGCAGTAGGTAAATGCCATGAGGGTGCTGGGAGTTGAACCCCGGTCCTCTGGAAGAGCGGTCAGTGCTCTTAATCACTGAGCCAACTCTCCAGCTATGTTCTGTTTTCCTTCGGGGATTCGATCTCATTACATAACCCTGGCTGACCTGTGTGGAGCCAACCTTCCTATGTCTCTTAAAACTACTCTAAACATCTCTGGCTCAGTTAGAGTTCTGTTTTGTTTGTTTGACAGGAAAGAATTCTTTCCTTGGGCTGTAAAGTAGACTAAGAAACAGGAAGTGTTTCGACTCTGATTCTATATTGCTAGATTTCTCTCTTGAAGACTAGGTCAATCTGATCCCTCTGGAGCACTGACAGTGGGGCCACAGTGTGCAGCTGTGTTGTGTACACTGCACAAAGACATCTGGTTGAGTGCTGCAATCCCCCCATGGAGGGATGTCGTCTTTCAATTCTCAAAACGTTCCCACATGGGCCATGACTGCCCATTGGAGAGGTAGGCTGCCTGGTCTCACAGGGACAGCTGTCCCTGTTCCTTTCCAAGCACTGCTGATCGGGGAGTTCAGCCAATCACATTCTGTCCATGGGGCGTGTTGCCCTAATGCAAAAATTTACCTATAGACCTGGCAGGTGCGCTTCCCCGCCCTCTCTTGGCTCCTTCATTCTCGGATGGACCATTGGGACTCTGGTGTAAGTTTTTCTTCTGTTTATTAAAGCTGTATCTTTTATATTAAGCTTGCCTGGTTGATTTTTAATTACCAATCGACCTTGCCCCATCAATTGGCACCTGAACGTGCGGTTTTTTAAATCTATAAATTTGCTTTGCCTTTCCCCACATCTGTTTCTGTCTTTATTAATATATATGTCTGTATATGTCTTCGTAGATAATGTTTAACTTTCCCATAACAAACAATAAATTTTCCTGCATAATCTTTAAAGTTTCTAGGATGAAGATGGGGCCCCACAACATCAATTCCACCTGGTTACTATGACGTCATAATGTTGATAGCGCTACTTTTAGACCTGTTTTTTGGTACCAGCTACACAAAACAGTTCCAGATGATGCACAATTTTTGACAACTCTCTGGCCAGACCTCCTCAAAACACTCAGAGACTATTTGCAACTTTCTCACACCAAATGTTAATATTGGAATTTTACCATCATTTATTTTCACAGGACCCCCTAAGAAAAACGTCACCCCCATGACAGCTGGAAGCAATTTTAGAGGACGACATCCCCTCTCCCAGTAGAATTTGCCCTCAGGTTTAGGAACATCATTTAGGGGTTGGTTATAATTGATATAGGGATGAGGGGATGGGGGAGGTATTTTATAGGCTCAGGGGTGTTTATCATTAATTTTGAAAAAAAAGGGATTGATTGGTAATGGGTTAATAATATATTGGTATTTGTGAGTTATTGTTTTTAGAAAATTGTATTGGTGTTGATTCTTGTACATTGATATATTGAATATTGTATGTGAGTATGCTTCTACCTCTATTTATTGTATGTGAGTATGCTTCTACCTCTATTCATATTGATATATATATATACATACATTTACATTTCTACCTCTGATTAAGATATTTATATATTGTCTATGTAATGATATGCATTGTTTACATTTGGAGGTCATTGTCCTCATTCATTACACAGTTGTTTATTCTCTTAGTCTTCAAGTTAGATATATATATAAATCAATAGTCATAAATGTTTGTCATACTTATATTTAGGCTAATCAGGTTATTTAGGTGCATAGAGATCATATTTAGTATAGATAGTATAATCTTCAACCTCTTTGAAGAGCTGTAGAAAATGGCCTTTAATCTAATCTAGAGCTCTGTACTAACGAGACACAATTATACTCCTGGCAACACCGCTCTACTCCCGAGAGAACGTTGAGCACCAAAGGCACTCCATTTAGAGCATGTCTTCTTCCTGGCAAAACTGGCCTTTGGGCAAAAAAAAAGCCCATACCTCGACCACTGACAGAATTACAAAATATCCATAAATGGATAAAAACAAGATTGTCTTATCTTGCCAAGACAGGGTAAGAGAGTTCTAAAAGGTTTCTTGCCTTTGAAAATGGCATGTCAGTTAGGTTATTCCTTAGCCAAAGTTGGTTGACTCAACATTGCAAACGAGACTTTGGGTGATTGCCCAGGTATTCAGTTGTCTCTTCCATTTGTTGCACATTTCGGAAGTTTCCCGCTTGTACTTCCGGGCTACTTGAGTAAAATTATTTCGCTTCTCAGATTTTGATGGAGTTGAAGATTAGATAGTTGTAGTTACCATCTACATTATTTAGACTCCCTGAGATAGAATGTTTAGTAAAACTTTTGTTATATGTTTCTTGCTTAATATTGTTTGTTGTTTGTAATTTTATATTTATTATGCTTAATATTGTTTGTTGTTTGTAATTTTATATTTATTATTTGTTTCTATTGTATATAGTTGTATTTGGTTTTGTCCTGTCTTATTTTAGAAAACAGGGGGAGATGATAAGGGAGTTCAGCCAATCACATTCTGTCCATGGGGCGTGTTGCCCTAAGACAAAAATTTACCTATAAACCTGGCGAGTGTCCGCCCTCTCTTGGCCCCTGCATTCTCGGATGGACCATTGGGACTCTGGTGTAAGTTTTCCTTCTGTTTATTAAAGCTATATCTTTTATATTAAGCTAGTCTGGTTGATTTTTAATTACCGATCGACCTCGCCCCATCACACTGCACATACATTGTAGCATCCTCCCAGCCTCTGTAAGGACCATGTCCATCAGATACCCTTACCTCCCTCCTCATTCTTGCCCTCTCCCAGGGCTGTTCCCCCTCAGCCCAGGGCTGTTCCCCTCACCCCAGTGTGTGCTCCAATCCTCCCACAGCCTTGCTAAACTCCCTCCAGCTGACACAATCACCATAGCAACCATCCAGGCAGGCTTTCTCTTCCTTTCTCTTACAGTCTCCACCTGCTCATTGACCACCATCCCTCAGTTGCCTTCTTGCTGGCGTTTGTCTCCACTTTGCCACCAAATCTATTTTCACTGTGGCGGGCAAGGGCCTCACACTATGGTGGGACTCCCGCTTCTTTCTCGTCAGATCCCTGTGCTACACACATGTGATCCATTGCATTGCTTCCTTGGTTACCCTCGCACTGTCTCTCCTGGGTCTCCAAACATTTTTGATCTCTCGTGTTTGGATCTTCACAGAATCCTCTTTCTCTGCCTGCCCCAGAAACCCTGTCACCTCTGGGTTTTGTGCCAGATGCCCTCTCCCTCAGAACCTTAATCTGAACCCACGGTTTCCCGCATTGCCTGACTCCGAGACGGGATGTCCCTGTCTCAGCACCACTCTCTCCATGATATCTGAACTGTCTCGTCTGTCATCCACCTGCTGGACGCCGTTCATGCTCCTGAGAAATGTCTCTCCTTCTTGACTGAAAGTGACTTGTCATTGGATACCCCAGCTCAACAGCCACAGTGTCCAGCCCACCCGGAAGCTTGAGATTCCCTCTGTCTACTGCTCCTCTGCCCTCTGACGTAATCATCAAGTCCTGCCAGGTTTACCTTCTCCGTGTGAGACCCGACCCTGTCTCCCCTTCTCTGCATCTCATTTCTGTCGAAGTTATATTAAATGAGCACATTTACCTGGGGCCTGGGTCACCGTCGGTTCCTAATGACTGTCTGCCTTCATCGAGATTGGTTTTTGTTTGTTTGAGAGTCTTATTTAGCTCAACTGGATTCAGACTCACTATGTGGCCAAGGATGAACTTGAATTTTGATCCTCTTGCCTCTGCCTTTTGGGAGTGGGCCGCCACAATTGGTTTAATGAAGGGCAGAGCTTTAAGCATACAAGGTAGGCACTCTGTACCTGAGCCACATCTCCTACCACCTTCTTTGAGATTCTTATCACCTCCTACTTGAACTGTACTCTTCTGTCTGCGGCCAGTCACCTATGAATTCAAGTCCTAGGCTTTAAAGTAGCATCCAAGGTCCACTAGATCTGACTCCTTCCTCCCTCTCAAGCCACCTTGAAATGTCTTCTTGTCTCAGACCTAATTAATACTCTTGTAACTCTAAGCACATACAGCATGTGGCTCCCAACCCCTGTACCCAGTTCAGCATGTCATAGATTTTGGATATGGAAGACCCCCCAAAGGCTCATGGATGAAAAGCTTGGTCATCAATGAGACCTTGCTGGGAGGTAGCAGAAAGCTTTAAGAGGTGAGAGGACCTAGCAGGTACTCCTCCACTTATTGGCACATGCCAATTGAAGGAAGTATTGGGACCCACACCTCATTTCCCTGTCTCCATTTGGGTTTCTGGCCACCTGATTGCCATGGTGACTGCTTTGCCATAGGCCAAAACACCACGTAGGGGTGATGCGTAGCTACCAGACATGACCCTGCTCTGGGATACAGGAGACAGCACGCCAACACTCCACTCTCGACCCTGAGGGGGTGGGACGTTCTTTAGTCTAAATATGGAATGTCCCCCACAGGCTTTTGGACTAATAGCTTGGTCCCAGCTGTCGGTGCTGTCTTGGGGGGCAGGGTCTAGCTAGAGGGAATAGGTCACTGGGCTGTGATTTTGGAGGTTGGATGAGGTCCCGGGGCAGGTGTTTTGTCACACAGGCATGGCAGGAAGTAACACACGGGTGCTCTGCTGTGTTTGTGGGTAGGAGGGGAAGGCTGGGAATGGCAATTAAGTCTGGTGCAAGAGCTTGGTTCTCGGTATTTGGGGATCCTGGTAGACCAGCCTGTCATGACGCTGTCCCTGGTGTATTTGTGCCAGTTTCTATTGTTGGCGACACTGTACACCTTTCTGTGTAAGAACGATTTCTCTGTATTTGTTTATTTCCCCAAATGTCAATTATGTGCTCTTCTCTGTGGGTCAGCTGCTGAGTAAACTAGACAAACAAGAGACTCTGGCTCAAAAGAGCCGCATGGACCCTCATTTCCCTGCCTCTCTTGACTCAACAGCTTCTTGCTGTCCTACTCATTCAGACTCCTCCCCCTTCCAAGTTGTGTCGCTTACCAGGCCATTTTGGGCCACGTAGGTGGGGAGACCACTCACTAGAGCCCAGTGGTCAGCAGGTGGGTTCCTGTGAAGGCCAAAGACAAATAAATGGTGACTTTCAAGTCGGGGGACTGTGCCTTCCCTCTTCCCACTGGCCCAGTCCCCCACTTCCAGTCACAACAGCTGCCTCAGCCCCAAAGACTGATCAGCCATCTACTGCACATCCAGAAATGGAAAAGAAGGTCATGAATAGAATATTTTCATGATTGTCCATAGGGTTAGACTATCCAAACACTCAATCCACCCTGTTACTGACTGCAGAGCAAAAGCCCTGTCATCTTCCCCCGTGACGTGGAGAGGCTTAGTCACGCCACAGACTGAATGTGAAGCTAACACTTTAATACTTATTTCTAGGAGAAGCAACACTACAGCTCCTGGACTTACAGTTACGTGCTGTATAGCAGCGCTTCAGCCAACAGTGGGCCACATATATGTCAGTGGTCCCATAAGATGTATCACCCAGTGATATCACAGCCTCTTTACTGTGTATTGGTACAAAGACAAAACCTGGCAACGTCTTTCTCCAAATGTGTCCCCTTCCTTGAGGAGACACATGATTGTATTGCCTTTGCTTGGTTATAGTAAGAATACATACAGTCAGAATATAGTAAGAACATATACATTCAGAAAAAGGCATACCAATCATCATCACTCATGAGAAAGTGAATTTGGGGCTGGAAAGGTAACTCAAAGGGTAAGAATACTTGAGCATAATCTGAGGACCTGAGTTCAGATCCCCAGAACCCATGTAAAAAGCTGAGTGTGACTGCAATTATCTGTTGCCATAGCACTGGTGGTGGGGAAAAGGTAGAGACAGGAGCGTGACTGGGGCTTGCTAGCCTCCAGCCTAGCTCCAGGTTCAAGAGAGACAGCCTCGAGGGAATCATACAGAGTGTGACAGAGAGGTACACTCGATGTCCTCTGGCCTCAGAATGTGCACATGTGTGTATGTACACACAAACACACACACACACACACACACACACACACACCCCTGAAAGTGAACATTTCAGAAATCCCACTCCGATCAAGAACAGCAGTGTCAGCACTTTGAAAGCCCCAGCCCCTCTCAGCGGTGGCCCTGACCCAGAACAACTGTTATTGTGGTATAATTCCATTGCTTCTCTACCGCGTTTTCCCACTTGGCTCCGCTCCCTGCACTTTCTAACCCAATCAGCCTGTTTCTTTTCTTCTCACCACAGTAGCACAATTATCCGTTCACACGTTGCCGATCACCCCTTAGTGACTCCTTTCCCAGTTTGAGATGAAACAGCACCGCTAACTCAGCTCTGTACGTCTCGAAAATATTGAATGTATGTCTCCAAAATATTGAGTGTATGTCTCCGAAATGTTAAGTGGTAACATGAATATATTTTTAATTTATGAAGTATCAATTTTACACCCATCAGTGACATGTTATAGTTCCTTTTTTCCATGTCCCTGCCAGTACCTAGTGTGTTCAGACTTTTGAATTATAGCCTTACTGGTAGGGCCTGAAAACGCCATCGCTGTGGTCTTCCTTCTAACAATGTGTTTGATATATGGGTTGCCTTTGTGGACTGCCTACTCATGTCTTTCTCTTCCTTTTCTGTAATGCTCCTTTTTAATTAACTTTGGCTTCTTTGCAGACTTGACATGAGGCAGGCATCTGTGTTGTAAGCATCTCATTTCACACCATGACCCTTTTCACACTTTATAATAAACCAGTGTTCTAGGTATGCTGAGTAATTTCCACCTCCTCATGGTTTTGACCTAGTGTAAGAGATGCACAATGAATCATGACCGGCCTGTGTGATCAGTAGAATATGGTGGAGAAAAATATGTTATCTTTTAAGACTTTACATTTATGTATACATGTGCTTTTCTGTTTAAGCATGTGCCACACGTACAGGTGTCCACAGAGACAAGTCTCTTCTTATCCAGCCAGGCAATCTTTGTCATCTAGCTGGCTATCTAGTTAGGTTTATCTTCCCTATGGCAGTGTTAGTGAATCTTGCAAGGATCAAAACGGTGTCCGTTTTGACAGCTTTGGGCCATACTGATGACAATCTTTGTAAGATGGTCACCACCACACACCCTAGCTGGCAGTGGGCAAGTGGTAAGGTGGTTGCTCGTACCATAAGCCTCAAGGGTGTGCTACTACAATGTAGTCTGGCTTATCCTGACTGACTCAAAGGTTTGTATTAGAAAAAGTCGGCCTTCTTTCTTTCTTTATTTCTTCCTTCCTTCTTTCCTTCCATTCTTTATCTCTTTCCTTTTCTTTTCAGAGTGGATTTACAGTTTTAATATAGGTACTGGAAAACGAGAACAAGTTTACACTAGACCAGCAGGTTTTCAAAAAAATCTAAAACAGGTGACACAGGAGAGGGTTATGTGGAAGGAGAAAGGTGACTGTTATTTGAGCCTGGTGAGGTGTGTTGGGTTAGTAAAACACTGGGGATGGGGATGGGGCTGGAGAGATGGCTCAGTGGGTTGAGCACTGGCTAGTGTTGATTGCAGCGCTAGGTGGAGACTGGATCCCCAGAGCAAGCTGGTGAACTCTGGGTTCAAATGAGAGAGCAAGAAGATACGCAATATTAACCTCTAGCCTCTACATATGCACACATGTGTGTACATTCACATCCTGTGGACATGTATGTACACATATGCATACACACGAGAGAAAGAGAGAGAGAGAGAGAGAGAGAGAGAGAGAGAGAGAGAGAGAGAGAAAACACATCCAGGAAAGCTGTGACTTGTGCTAATGCAAAAGACACACGATGAGTTTCATAGTGTAAAGGTAGGAAAGGGGGTGGAAGATAGGAGGGGTGGCTCCTGCCAGTAATCCAGGCACTTGGGAGATCAAGGCAGAAAAATCAGAAGCTGAAGGCCAGCCTCTGCTATACGGCCAGCCCAGACTGTATGTGACTCTGTTTTTAAAAAGGGGAGAGGGTAGGGGATAAAGAAATAAAGAAAAATTAAAAGGAGAAGAAAAGGAGGTTAGAGAGCAGTGTGTTTGAAAAATGCACATTAGAAAATCTAAAAAGGAAAAAAAAAATTGCTCAGGAAAACTCAGACCTAGGCGTGGGTTACACACCTGTAATCCCAGCACTCAGGCAGGAGGATTATAAATTGGAGGCCAGTCTTGGATAGTAAGACTTTATTTAAAGTAAAGAAGAGAAAAAGAGGGAGCGAGAGAAAGGGAGGGAGAAAGAGGGGGTGGTGGCAAAGAACTGTTACTTTAGCTATTTTTTTTTTTTATGTGCATGGGTGTTTTATCAGTACGTCTGTCTGCGCATCATGTGAATGTCTGGTGCCCTTTGAAGCTGTGGCGTTACAAGTGCACCATGGGGGTGCTGTAAATTGAATCCAGGTCCTCCGGAAGAGCAGCCACTACTCGTAACTACTGGGCCATCTCGTCATCCCCAGAACCAGTTTTTATCCAAGCAGGAATGTGCTGGAATAGAGAACCCAGCAAGAGGGGAATGGGAGACTATTTCTCATCCTCAGCTAGCAAAAGACAGACCTGAAAACTGCTTCTCTGGGTGACAGAGGAGTATTTTAGGATTTGACCTGGTGACTAAGACTGAGTCAGCGTTTCCAGTTATCTCTACTGTGTGGGCATTAGGGCAACACATGGTAAATCCCTTCAGCTTCCGGGCTCTGCAGGGAGTGGGCAGCAGCTGAAGGTGTGATCCTCTCACTGACTGCCGTTTATGGTGCCCACAATTAAGGCAAGAAAGTGAGTCTGTCTCCAGGAAGAGCTCTGGGTGTGGCTCTTAGAACAGGAAGGGATTCTGGGAGATAAGTTTTCTGGAACACTCTGCTGACCAAAACAACTTATCCCAAAAGGGGTTGTGACTTTTCTGCTCCTGAAGTTGTCCTCTACAGGCACCTGTAGCACCCTTCCTTTCCTACCCTTCTCTAGATGTGGTGTTCCTTGGGGCCTGAGTCATTTTCTTTCCCAGCTTCTTATTTTTGCTCTTCCCTCTTATTGAACCCCAGAAGCGGCTCCGCAGAAGTGGTGGAAAAGCCTCCATTTGAGACCATCATCTTTTGGGGTGGGTGTGGAGGGGAGATGATGCTGAGGCTGCTTGTTTGTTAACACAGGCTACTCCTCCTGATAGGAGGTCACCCCAGCATGCTTGCCTTGGATCTAGCTCTTCCCTTTGGGAAACTGGTTCCACCACCTTCTCAGTCCCATTGTTTGTCACCCTCCCCCTGCTCTCTCTGCCTCCAGCCAAGGACGTGACTGTTCAGAGTGTGCTCAGAGTTCGGTTTCAGGACCCACAGACTTAAGGTATTGGAAATATGCCTGAAGTTTTTCGTGTCTGGAGATGAAACTTACGGGATTACTTTGATGTCTTCTTTGCCGTGCAGGATGTAGTCAATGACCTTGTAAAAGTTAATTTCCTGGCAAAAGAGGAAAATTATACATTGAGTCATGTCAGGGCTTCAGCAGAGGTGCCCCGTGAAACTAGCCTGATTCTTCCTTCTCTGTTTCTTAAAAAAACAAACAAACAAAACAGGGAGGAGCACACACAAAGTTTACCCATGCCTAAGACATGGCCCCATACCCCTAACCCCGTCCTTCACTGCATCTGCCCTTGTTTTTCAGGGGCTCCAGGTTTGCCCCCCAGCTCCCTCTAAGGTCAGCTCTGCTGCTCTCCAGCCTTCACTGTCCTTAACTGACCCTCAAAGAGGGTTATAGGCGGCCATGGACCTTCATAGGACCAGCTGGCAGGCGGCTCTAATCCTCTTGCTCTCCATGAAAAATTCTCTTATCTTATCAGGTCCTCTGTATGCCTAAAAGTGATAGGCAGTTTAGCAACCGTCTCATGGATGAGAGCTGAAATGCAGGAGAAGGAAGGAGTACTGTATAGTGAGACATTGCAATGAGCCAGCACCAGAGCCTGGGTCCTTGATTTCTAGACCCATTTAACTATGTGATTTAGGGATAGAAGCCTTAAATGCCTCTGCAGTATCTCTATGGCCCGGGACACAGCCACCCAGACGATGACCACTGGACTGTTGCCAGCCTTCAGTCTAGTTGTTACTGAAAAACACTTAGCTGCCTTTATTATGAAGCCTTGACTCCTTACTCAAGCCTCTCCCTCAGCTATTAGATCTCTTTTCATTTGTAAAAACAGTGTGGTGACAGGAGTCTGGCTGATTCGTTTGTTTGGATTGTGTTTGTGTGGGGGAAGGGTGTATGTGTATGCACAGGTTTGTGCTGGCAGGTGTGTGAACCTTTGTGGGTGTGGGAGAACCAGCCAAAGCTGTCCTGTGCTTTCCTCCACCACTGTCCACCTTATGTGCCTTTGAGGCACGCTGGTCCTACAGGCAAGCCCAAAGGATTCTCGTTTCCCTCTGCCTACCCTCCCCATCACGGTTGCATAGGAAATAACCACTGAGCTATCTCTCCAACCCATTTTGTGCTGTGCGTGCGTGTGTGTGTGTGTGTGTGTGTGTGTGTGTGTGCACATCACAGCAAAGGTAGGGAGATCAGAGGACAACTTGTAGGATTTGATTCTTTCTTCCCATGATGCGGGACCTGAGTTTGATGAGGGATCAAACTCAGATCATCAGTCTTTGTGACGTGCACCGTTGCCTGCTGAGTCATCTTACCAGCTCTGTTGGTTAGTTTTTTTTGAGACAAGATTTAATGTAGTCTTTTCTAGCAAGTCTCAAACTTGATATGCAGTCAAGGTTGACCTTAAGCTTCTGATCTTCTTGTCTCGACCTCTCAAATGCTAGAATTACAGGCATGCACCAAACGCTAGAATTACAGGCATGCACCAAACGCTAAAATAACAGGCACGCACCAAATGCTAGAATTACAGGCATACATCAAATGTTAGAATTACAGGTGTGCACCAAATGTTAGAATTACAGGCATACACCACCACCTGGCTCAGGAATCTGGATCTTGAATCTGACTCCCAAAGAAAAACTACAGAAGGCACTCACTTTCTACCAGTCAATGAAATGCAATTACAAAGAACTCTGCCAGGCCCAGAGTACATGAGAATCTTCCATCCTATAATCCTCATTCTTGTCTCAGTATTTGCCACAGCAACAAAAATCTTATCATTCTTAATATCCCATCCTACCTATGAGCTTCAGTTGCAGGTGGTGAGTTAGCAGGATGTCTCTAGGACCAAAGTGCACATATTTTCTGACTCAGCATCTCCACATACAGACATGCATCCTATAGACAAAGTCTCAAGGATGCCTGCCATGTCCACAGGTCTCAGCCTCATTACTTTAAAAGGCCTTGCAACAACGCCAAACCTACTCTGTGAGCAAGTTATGTCAGAAGCATAGATTGACATGTCTATGTCCTTCTACAGTGTCAGAATTTATTGAATAAAAAGTTCACAGCTATGTCAATTTCAAGGGCTTAAGTTCACCAATTACTATTGATTTCACTTGGCATTTGTGGTTTTTGGTAGTCCTGGTTTCTTTTTTCCAATCTGATCTTAGATATAAATATTAACTCTCAGGTTGTGTATTACACTTCACATAGTGGTGTGTGTGTTTGAGTGTATGTGTGTGTGTGAAGCATGCCATAGAAGAGTTGAGAGCTCAGTACTTATTGATCCATGACTCATGCATAGGCTGGTCTGAAAGGATTGGAGAATGCTGCAGTATCCAGCATTAGGTGTCCCTTATTTTCTATGATCCAGGTACAGGGTTGCATCATTCATTCATTCAATAGTCACATGTGGTCAGCAGGCATCATTCATTCATTCAATAGTCTCATGTGTTCAGTGGACTCACAGGTCTGGTTTTTCTGACGCAGTTTTGGTTTTTTTTTTTTTTTACTTTTTGAGACAGAGTCTCATTATGTAGATTTGGATAGCCTGAAACTCACTAGGTAGACCAGAGTAGTTCTCTGCTTCTGTCTTTGCCTCCAGAGTGTTGGGATCAAAACCACGTGACCTGGGTTCTAATATAGTTTTGACGCATATATCCATATGTTCCTTATCTAATACGATACATTCAGAGGGAGTCATTCTTTCTTCGCATAAATGAGTTATCAGTATGCCTCATGGTTGGTGCTGGACAGATGGTGGTTGTTTACTTGCACAAATGACAGACCAAATCATTCTTAATCAGTACTTGCGCTCGAAATTGAACCAACTGCTGTTTTATAATGAGGGATCACTCAGGGCAAGGCACAACACGGAAGAACTTTGAACAGGCCACACCTGATGGCGGCTATCCCAGGGAAAATGGTTGAACAGACACAGCCCGCATCTCCTCCATGCACAGCGGGTTACATCCCCACAAACCCGTTGTAAGCTGAGCTACTGTAAAGCACCGGGCTTAGTGGCTCATGCCAGTAGTCTTAACGTTTTCAGAGGCTGAGGCAAGAGGACTGTGAGTTCCGGACCCACCTGAACTATACTGAGAGACTCTGGGCCAGATAGTAGTCACACCTATAATTCCAGCAGTCAGGAAACAGAGACACCTGGGCTACATAGTAAGTTCCGAGCTAGCCTGGACTACAGAGTAAGACCTTGTCTTTAAAAAAAGAAAAGAAATAGTTCTCAAACATCCCAGCTGAGAAAAGCAGGCTGTCGTGGAGTCTAGGAGGTGAGCACGTGGCCACTGCTACTGCCAGCGTGGCTAACAGAGTAGTGCCACGCACAGTTGCCATGGGGCTCTTCTGAAAAGTTCCTAGGATGTCTAACAGGTTTGGTTAGTGTGTTGGATTTTTATTTATTTTTCTTTTTCTGACGCCTACTGGAGAATCAATTTGCTTTCAGAAAAAAAAAAAAGCAGCAAAATAGAATCAGTGTGTTAGGCAAAAGAGGACTTTTTCTACACACTGGAGCTGTGTGTGGCCACATTCATGTATGAATTCCCAGATTCTGGAAAACCAAACCAGAGCCATCAAGGGCACCTTTGTTACCTTCTGCTGAGCAGCAGACACTGTGACACCAGGATCTCTGAATGAGTCACCAGTACATTGGTAACCAAATCATGAGGCCTGGAAGTATGGCAGTTTGAAGACAAGCAATATGTTGGTTTTTTTTTTCCATGAGGCCTAATTAGGCTGTACAACTTTTCATACTTTAGACACACACAAGACGTTTTACTTTCTGAAGGAAATGAGATGAAATACAGCTGGCTGTTAGTGGGCTTTGGACCTAGGATGGGGGGAGGGGTAGTTAAAGTCAAACACCGTATTTTTTAAAGTGTGTTTGAATTCAGCCAATATAGCATGAGTCACACTGGGAGGCAAAGGCGACCACAAGAAGGCATGTTTATGATGGCAGTCATCTGAGAGAAAAGCATCCAGGTTTTTAATCTGTACAAATGATTTGGCCTTACCAGATCTCCTCAAGTGTCCAATGGGAAAAAATAAAAATAACTTGTTCATAGACATATTAAAAAGAATACATGATAGCCAGGCCTGCTGGTGCAAGGCTGTAATTCCAGCTACTGAGGAGTCTGAAGCAAGAGCATTGCAAGTTCAAGCACCTCCTAGGGTAAATGGGTGAGTTTGAGACCAGTCCATGCACTCTGTCTCAAAAAATAAAGGTGATTTAAAAAAAATACAAAAAAGGCCCAGGAAGTGGCAAAACACTTGCCTGGTATGCATGGGGCCCTGGGTTCAAACCATGATACTACAGAAACAAAACAGCTCAGGTACAGCACCCGGCAGACAACGAGATGCAACTGGCCAGTTCTTATTTGATACTAGAATGCCGACTGCGCGTTGGTGGGAGATTAGCACCAGTGACCTAAGTCCTATGGACAGGTTGGCCTGCCCCAGGATGACAGAATAGGAAGGGGGCTTCTGGAAATATCCCAAGCCCACACAACTAGCTAGTGTCAGAACTCAGAAGTCTCCCACTGTACCCACATTCATTAAAGAAAAACATTTTGAGCCAGGTGTAGTCCTATGTCTTTAATCATAGCACTCGAGAGGCAGAGACAGATCTCTGCAAGTTCAAGGTCGGCCTGGTCTACACAGAGAGTCCCAGAACATTCAGAACTACATAAAGAGACTGTATCTGGTGTGCTCCGATGTTTTCCTGTATATACTCTATGTGAAGGTGTCAAATCCCCTGAGACTGGAGTTACAGGCAGTTGTGAACTGCGATATGGGTGCTGGGAATTGAACTCAGGACCTCTGGAAGAGCAGCCAGTGCTCTTAATCGCTGAGTCATCTCATCAGCCCATTGTTTCCCATTCTTAAATGAACAACAATACAAGGCTGACCAGTCTTTGCCAAGGCCATTTTTTGGTATATCTGTGGGTTTTGTGGGCTTCTCTTGTGTTTCTTTGTAGTGTCCTAGAAGGCACACACTACCCAGCCACCACACTGAACTTCCTGTCACAGGAACAGCGGGCACACTAACTGGTTCGGAAACTCAGAGTCAGTGTTGACTTTCTTTTCCCTTCCCTCTCCTGAGCAACCATAGCATTTGCAGGTATAACCTGCTTACATGATACCCTGTGACCCTGAATTATGGAGGGGGTTGGGGGCAAACAGGAGCACCCAGACTCTGAGGGGTGTAGACTGTGGCTGACTAGGTAGCTCATGCTACTTTCTAAAGATGTAGCCGTGACATAGCTCCAATCAAATCTATCCTGTGGGCTTAAATTCTGGATTAGATCTGAAGCCTCTTTCTAGCTCCAAACTGCTTCTAACTTCCTGCCAGGAAGACCCTTGAGCCAACTGCGTGACATCTCTGGACTCATTCTTGTCTGCTGAATGTGAGGATCGATTCCTGCCTCATCTGATCCTCTGGGTCCCCTCAACACTCCCACAAGTTATTAAACATTTGTAAGTGACAGGGTCAGAAAGTTGTGAAGAATTACCGTCGCACGGGAGAGACGACAGAGTGACGATAGAGACAAATGGCGGATGAGTGTCCTTCAGCAGACCCCACCAAGCCTTGCCTATAGAAAACACGACGAAGCGACTCACCCTTCCATCTGGAGTCCTGGGACCTGAGTAGGCTGGAGCCTCACCCATCAGAACTGGCCACACATCAAAAAATTCCTAGGAGTAAAATAAAACAATAATCACATGTTCTTATAAAGAGAAGCCTATATGAGCTGCCTACCACTGAAGTTTGAATGCGGAAAGACCACTGAAACCTGAGCTTGCCTGGAAGAGTGAAGACAGAGAATATTCTTTTTTTTTTTTTGACAGAGAATATTCTTATTTGTTAAACACTGATAAACAGGATCTGTCTAAGAAGCCAAAATATAGGTGATGAGTAGGGGTGTCCCCAGTGTTGTAGGACACTAGATGGGGAAATGAGGTCTTGGGGCTGAGGAAATGGCTCAGTAGGTAAAAGCTCTTGCCCTGCTAGTGTCAGGATGTAAGTTCAAATCCTGAGATCCCGGGTAAAGTAGGACACAGTAACACATGTCTGTAATGTCAATGCTCTTAGGGCAAAATGGGAGGTGGAGGCAGGAGGATTCCCAGAAGCTCTCTATCCTGTCTCATACAATAGCAAACAATAAGAGGCCCTATCTCAGTCAACCTAGCAGGAAAGGTTTGACACCTAAAGATGTCCCCTGCCTCCACACATGGTGGCTTGTGCATACCCATACACACATGGAAATATACACAAACCACACACACACACACACACACACAAATACTTTTTTACAGAGTAGGGTCTCTATGGAAAACAATCGAAGCATCTGGATGAGACCTAATAGAGTAATGAGGCCGCAGTTGTATAATCACATTGCAGTAGTGTCTGCCCATTAGAAAGGCGTCATGACAACAGCCGCCATGAGAAACAAGGGGTCTCAAAATAAATCACACAATGCCATTGTCAACTCTAGGAATGCTGCGATTGACTGTTAAAAATGTTGTGAAAAAATCCAAAAGCCCCTGAAAGCTAGTAAACGCAATAAATAGGGCATGCTCCTGAGCCTGACCTTGTACTTGGACTCCTGCACTCCAACATACATCCCTCCATAACAAACAAAAGCTGGGGGGCAGGAGCTGGGCTGGCACTTAGGCATTGCATTTGATTAGCACGTTCAAGGCCCTGGGCTCCCTCCCCAGCTCTGGAGTAATAACCGAAGAGACATGTTTCTATTACAAATTAAATTTTAGTCAGTCACAGACAGCCAACCGATCAGATTACACCTACATCAGACAAATGTGTGGCTGCTGCCAATTAAGTTTTCTTTATTCCATCCACCCTAGAAGAGTTCACTGCCCATGTAGAGCCGCGCTCTTGATGGCTTCCTGTATGGGGGCCACCTGATTCATGACTCATCTCTTACTGAACTTAGTTTATCATGAGTTTTTCTTTTTACCATGACCCAAGACACAAGAGAAAGATAGAGAAAGGAGGGTGGGGGATGGAGTTCAGTTGTTAGAGTGCTTGCCTCGTGTGGCAGTCTGAATGTTATGGGGGGGCATAATCTCATAGGGAGTGGCTCTATAAGGAGGTGTGGCTTTATTGGGGTGGGTATGGCCTTGCTGGAGGAAGTGTGTCACTACAGGGGTGGGCTTGGAGGTTTGCTATGCTCAGGATCCTGTCCAGCAATGTCTCAGTCAACTTCCTGTTGCCTGCAAGATGGAGGACACTCTGCTATTTCTCTAGCATCATGCCTGCCTGCATGCCTCCATGCTCCCTGCCATGGTGATAATGGATTGAACCTCTAAAACTATAAGCAAGTCACCCCAATTAAATATTTTCTTTTAATAAGAGTTGCCATGGTCATGGTGGTTTTTTTTTCACAACAATAGAAATCCTAACTAATACACCTAGCCTGCCTAAAGTCCTGTGCCCCAACCCCAGCACAGAATAAAACGAGTGTCGAAGCATTTGCCTGGAATCCCAGCACTTGGGAGTAGAGACAGGAAGATCAGGAGTTCAAGGTCATTCTTGGCTACATAGCAAGTTCAAGACTAGCCTAGGATCCAAGAGACCTTATCGCAAGAAAAAAAGGAAAAGGGGGGAAAGAAAGAAAGAAGCAGAAAGAAGGCTTAGGAGAAGAACCCACTAGGGCTTCCCAGGCTTCCATCTGTGGCTTGTCCGCCGGTGTTCTTTGCATGCAGAGATACAAAGGTTGTGTTAGATCAAAGTCCGGAGAAAGTTTTCCTTGTCCAGGGCTCTCTCTGATCATTGAACTGTTAACACTTGGGGACAAACAGTGACCTGTTAGCCCTGCATTGCTGTGTGTAGATGCCACCCTTCATGCCTTGTTCCTTTGAGCACACTCCTCCTGATGGCTGGATTATGTTAATGTCACCCAGAAAACAAACAGAAGGGAGCTCACAGAAAGTTCAGATGCCACACCCTCAGCCTTCTGTCCAGACGGACTCTTTTGCTAGACTTCTGACAACAGAAAGAAATTCCAGCCTGGGTGACCATATGAACTGGGGACCTACTGGTGTGGGAGAATTGTCTGTATTCTGTCAATCATGTATTTTAATAAAACGCTGATTGGTCAGGCAGGAAGTATAGGTGGGTCAACCAGACAGGAAGTGGAGGCAGGGCAATGAGAATAGGAGAAGGCTAGGGAGGAGGAATCCTCCTCTGACACTCCTGCACAGACCACCAAAGAGGCAACATGTGATCTGACAGCTGAAAAAGGTACCAAGCCACGTGGCTAACATAGATCAGAATAATGGGGTAACATAAGTTATAAGAGCTAATAAGTAGCCTGACCTAATGGGCCAATCAGTTTAGAATCTTATGGAGTCTTGTGTGTGATTTTTCCTTGGGAGTTGCTGGCTGTGGGGTACTGGGCGGGACAGAAACCCCAACAAGCCGGCCCTCATGTTACAACCTACCAAAGCCCCATGTCCTGTTTGCAACTTGTTTGTGGTGCATACAACACATTACAGACTTAGAACATGGATTCTCAACCTTTGGGTCGCGACCCCACTGACAAGCTTCTATCTCCAAAGAAAGATTTACCTTACGATTCATAACAGTACTAAAATTACAGTTATGAAGTAGCAATGCAATAATTTTATGGTTGGGGTCACTACAACATGAGGAACTGGGAGGAAGGTTGAGAACCACTGCCCTAGAAGAACTTAGTATCTCCTGAAGAAGATAAGCAATAACTCGGTTGCTGCTAGGAATGGCAGGTGAAGAGAAAGAAATACTCAATTTGAAGTCCCCAATTATGAAAGGGTAGAAAAGACAGGGAGAAACTACAAGAGATATAAAACATAGTGAAGAACTCCAACATAAAGTGCCAAATTCAGAGATCTCCTCACAAGTGGACATCTTGACATTGAACACGCAAACTGAAATCAAGGCAGTATGACACTGTAGAATAATAGAAAAGCAACCAGTGCAACAGAGCAGAGAGTCCAGAAACCAAGCCAGGGAAAGATGGGCTTTTCAATGGGATCGCGACAACAGGTGGTCTTTTTGTTAGAGCAATGGGAAAGGGCGGGTTTTTTCCAGATGAGGTAATGGTAGGTTGGGTGTCCACGTGAAATAGTAATATTTATCATATATCATAGTATACATTAAGTTTTTCTAGTATACTGTAGAGCTACATGTGAATTCCATAAAAACAAAACTTACACAAATTGGCATAAGTAAATACCTTTCTGATCCTGGAAACTAGAAAAAGACTTCTTAAATGGTCTAGTAACTTCATAAAAGTCACTAGCCATAAGAAAAACTGATTCCTCAAACTACACTATGACTCCGATTTATATTCACCTAAACAAGCTTTTAAGAAAAAGAAAGCACCAAATTGGAGGGGACGCCGGGGGGACGCCGGGGACGTCTGTGGGACAGCGGGGGACATCATCTGTGGGACAGCGGGGACGTCTGTGGGACAGTGGGGACGTCTGTGGGACAGCAGGGGACATCGTCTGTGAGACAGCGGGGACGTCTGTGGGACAGCGGCGGACATCATCTGTGGGATAGTGGGGGATGTCTGTGAGGCAGCAGAGGATCCTGGTCCACACTTGCAAAGCCATCAGTAGGATGGCTCCAGGGTAAAAGCACTTGCCAGGAGAGCCTGATGACCTGAGTTCAGTCCCCCAGAATCCTCGATGGAAGGGGAGACCTGATTACCAAAAGTCGTCCTCTGACGGCTACACCCGTGCTATGTCTGGCCTGCTCCTCTTCCATCGGTTCTGGGAGTCAAACTCTGGTCCTCGTAGCTCTGAGGCAAGCACATTACTAACCGAGATGTCTCGCTAGCTTGGTAAAATCTTCCACAGCCATGCAGACTCACCCAGGCTGTGTCCTGTGCTAGGTGAATCTGGTGTCCTTGAAATTGTCTTACCTTCTGTTTGGTCATGTCTAAGAGGCCTATGGAGTATCTGTCACAGTTGAGGAAAGCCCGGACTGTGTACAGGGCTTTGTGGAACTGTCTCTCTATATCCGTGAGCTCTTCAAAGACCTTGCTCCCAGACCACAGCAGTATCTGCAGACATTTGAAAAAAAATGATCAGAGTTGTTGAAAGTTTCTTAGAAAATAACAATTCTGCAAAGTTTTCTAGTTTACTCCATTTAACTCTTACAAATATCTAGAGAAATAGGCTCATTTGCCCCATTTTATAGGTGGAAAAACTGAGGCATTGGGTCCAACTTTTTCCATTTATTTTATCTCACGTGTTATTAATAATATATAATAAGCACAGGGTTTAAGGATGCAGGTCAGTAATATAGGTCTCGAGTTCAATCCCCAACTGCAAAAACCATACAATAAAATAATAACAAGTAGTCAAAGTACCCTACATATGTCCTCTTATTTATTTTGATAACACTCTTTTGAGAATGATATATAATTATTTCCATGTTTTGTTTTGCTTTCTTTGTTTGTTTCGTCAGGGTCTTGAGTAGCCCAGTCTGACCTCCACATTCCTGATCCTCCTGCCTCCGCCTCCAGAGTGCTGGATTGCCACGCTGCACCACCACGCCCATCTTACGTGTCCACGTTATCAGAGAGGCTTAGCAACTCGCTTAAGGTCTGCCAGCTCGTTGGTGAGCAAACATTCAAATCCAAGCACAACCACTCTAGGATTACGAGCATCCGCCACCTCCTAATACAGGGCATTCCCGCTAGACACAGCTTGGCTTCACAGTACCTTCACACCTACTGCCCTGACGACATCAACGCTTCAGCAGAAGGGCTTGCTCAGGCTACTCACCTGGCCACGCCGAGTCTCACAGCTGTGCAGGTAACTCAAATGGTACACCTTCATGATCAGATTCACGAAGTTGAGGTACTTGAGAAGAATCTGTAGATGCAAACAGCAGATGAGACAGAGAAATCCTTCCTCGGGCCGCTTCTGCCACCAGCAAATGTCTGACCATCGTGAAAACTTGCACAGAGGCAATCTGCACAATTGAACCATGAATGGCCGCATGAATGGAAACTCACCATGCTTGTTGATTTATTGAGAGTGTAATTAATAAAAATAGCTAGTATTTATTGAACTTGGTGGCCCTATGTTAAGTCACTGGTGTATGTTACCCAATCATTACAAGCCACTCTGAGGTAGATACTGTGAAATCACTGACACTTTACAAAAAAAAAAAAAATAATAGATTCAGAGAAGATAAGCACTTTGTCCAAATAAAACAACAAGATTCTGGAAGGTCCAGAACAAATACCTCTCATTCCTAACTCCAAAATCCAATGTCTGGACAGTCATAGTCCCCTGCCTCCCTCAGAGATTAACATCTGGGCCCTGCCCCCTCTCTCTTTTGGTTTTTGAGACAGGGTCTGCATGCAATGCCCTAAAACTCATTATACAGCCCAGGCTATACAATTATAATTATAGTTGTGCACCACCACATTGTGACAATACTCCTGCCCCAGCTTCTCAGTACCGGAATTACAGGCACGGGCTGACATACTTGACTTGTCCTCCTGCTTTATATATATATGTATGGAAACTAAAGCCAAACCAAATGGCAAGATTGGGGAATTCCACGAGCAGGAAGAACCGGCTAGCGTGGCGTCCTCAGGAGCATCTCAAGCAGTCTTACCTCTTCGTCTCTCTTGGTGAAGTGGGGTCCGTCTATTTTATTCACAGCCATGATGATGGCTACCACGTCCTTCCCATTCATGATGGGGCAAGCCAGGATGTTCTTGGTCTGATACTCTGTGAGTTCATCCACAAAGTCACAGAAATGCTCATCCTGAGAGATGGGAGAGACAAGCAAATGACCACAAGGACGGGGGAGCCTCTCAGAGCCCCTGCTGTCCATCTGCTCCCCCTAGGCAAGGGCAGAACAACTTGAGGACTTAAGGTGATCATGTACACCTTCAGCATCCACCAAAAGAGGAAGGACTGAGAGGCCACCCACCAAGGGCCACGGAGGACAAACACTTCAGGGCAGTGAAGTCCAAGGTGGAAACTTAAATGGGAACCGTGAGGACATAACCATGATGATGCCAGTGGGCGTTGCCCATGGCACCCTATCGCATCTTTCCATCTTCATCCTCCCTGCAGCCTAAGAGAGAGGGACCAACAGCCCACCTCACAGAAAGGGGATCTGCAACTCAAAGTTAACACAGCTTGGGAGCGTTTAGACCCTGGCCTCAACTCTGCCCTGCTCGCATAAGCCCCGGTGAAGTTACACTGGGGTCCACTCAGTGGACCAAAGACTTTGTTATTTTCAGCCCCCACTCCCATCCAGTCTCTTATTTATTCAGGCACAGTCTCCCCATATATTCCATGCCAACCTTGAACTCTCAGTCCTTCTGCTCCAGCCTCCCACAGGTGCTGGAATCGTAGGCAGATATGTTCACCTTTTGTAACAAGCTGATTACAATTTACGTGGCCATTTCTCTTTTGTTTGTTTGTTTTTGTTTTTTGAGACAGGATTTCTCTTTGTCACTTTGTTGTCTGCCCTGGAACTAGCTCTTGTAGACCAGGCTGGCCTTGAACACACAGAGATCCTCCTGCCTCTGCCTCCGGTTTGCTGGGATTAAAGGCGTGCCCCACCACCGCCCAGCTTTACATGGCCATTTCAGTGGCCATCCCCACCCCAGAACTCTCTACGAAAGCGCTACTACATGTCAGGCCTGTACCAAGCGGCTGAGACTAAAGCTCCCCACTGAGGAGTCCCTAACTGTAATTCTGACTGACATCTTGATTAGGTCAAGAAGTTCCTTAGGAGACTAGTGAAGCAAACCTCTGGGCATGTCTGTGAGGGACCTTCCAGAGAGGATCGCTAAAGTGGGCCCTACTTGTAGGTGGCACCATCCCATAGGCTGGTGGGCCAGCTAGAGTAAGCTGTGAAGTGGGGAAAGTCAACCTGCTCCACGGCCTCCATATGAACTGCCCTGTCCTTCCCTGTCCCGAACACCTTCCCCATGCTGGACTCCTAGCCCCAAACCATGAACCAAAGCAATCTTTTTTTCCTTCAAGTAAAAACATTATTTATTGTCATTATGGGAGAGGCATGATGTTTATAGTGAGGGATGTGGGCTCACTGAGGGATTGCTCGTGTGGCAATCAGAGGAGAGCTTGTGGAGTAATTTCTCTTTCCACCTTTACACGGCTTCTGGGGATCACACTCGAGTTGCTCCTGAGCCATCCCAATGGCCTCCTTCTAGAGTTTCTGTCAGGTAATTTGGTCATAGCCGCACAAGAGAAGTTAATGGAGTAATACAGACCCTAAGGGCTTAGCTGAAAACCGCAGACCTTGGAGGTGCACACACCCTGACTCCCAGCCCTGAAGGCAGCCTGGCAGGACTTTCGAGGCTTTGATACAGTCCACATGGCCAGGGAAGGGAGACAGAGACCGGATTGTTTAGAGTCAGGAGAATCCACCTTTCTGTCTCTGACACTGTGGTAAATTTCCTGACTTCCCCGTCCATGGGACATGAGCCAGCACAAATATGTCCTGTGTGTGCTGTTCTGAGAAGGGCGATTCAGCCGCACAGCCGATCCATCGACTGTCTCCAAACTGAGGCGGCAGAATTTTCCCTACCGCTCGTATTCCTGGTGTGATGCCCTGTATTTTGGGATTTCCCTCTGGACAGAGAGAGATTAAACAAATAGGCAGTGGCAGAAGGTCAGCGAAGTTGGCTCAAACGGGTGAAGGGTAAAGGAATTAAGATTAAGCCAGTCATGCTCCACTCGTATCAGCGGTTGAGGATTAATTAGAAAAAGCTGTAAGACAGCAGCAGCTCAGGGGTTTTCTGTGTCATTCTTGGCAGACACGGCTGAGAGACTGAACTGCTCAGGGCTGGGCTGGGCTTGCTCAGATTCGTTTCAGTCAGTTCAGCTATGCAATACTTACCTTCATCCAGGGAAAGCCAGTACTTGGGCCTCATCTACCTCTGAGACAGATGTCTCTGAATCTACCAGCACCCTCTTTCTTAGTGGGTTAGTCACTTTTCTCATTATTATGTTCAAATACCTGACAAATGCAACTTCATGGAGAAAGGGCTTATCTTGGCTCCCAGTCTGAGGGGGTACAGTCTACCCTGTCCTGGAAGGTGTGCTGACAGGAACACGAGCAACCGATCACATTACAGCAAGCCGCAAGGAACAAAAGGCAACACTCTGTTTGCTGTCTTCCTTTTATACTGCCTGGAACTTCAGCCCATGGAAATGATGCTGCCCACAGTTAGGGTTACGCCTTCCACTTCAGTTAATCTGATCACAATACTCGCTGGGTGGTGGTGGTGCACACCTTTAGTCCCAGCACTCAGGAGGGAGAAGCAGGTGAATCTCTGTGAGTTTGAAGCCAGCCTGGTCTACAGAGCAAGTTCCAGGATAGGCTCCAAAGCTACAGAGAAACCCTGACTGGAAAAACAAACACAAAAACAAAAAAAAGAAGAAAAAGATAATAATCCCTCACCGACAGGCCCAGAGGTCTGTGTCTGAGGTGAGTCAAATCACTGAGTTCTCAGCCAAGGAACTCTTCACAAACACTCCAGCCCCCAATGACTGAAGTCTACCTATAGCCATACCATAATAAATAGCAAGCAACCACAACATAGGCCGTCAGTGGACCAGACGCAAATGGATTTGGAGGCATTTCCACTCAAACAATTTATTCTAATGTTTGTTTGTGTGTGTGTGTGTGTGTGTGTGTGTGTGTGTGTGTTGTATGCATGGGACTGAGGCGGAGGCCAGAGGGGGACATCTGCCTTGTTTCCTTGAGTCAGGTCTCCTATTGAACATGAAGCTGGTCAGTTTGGCTAGACTGACTGGCCACTGCACGCTAGGGATCTGCCTGTCTCTGTCTCCCAGTGCTGAGGTTGCAGGCACAGATAGCCATACCTCACTGTTGTGTGTGGGTGCTAGGGATCTGAACTCAAGTCTTCACATTTATACAGCGAGTTCTCTTACCTCCGCGTCATCTCCTCAGTCCCAAACCATTGACTTTAAAGCCAGGCACAGGAGACACGGCTAAGGACGGCCCAGTGTCAGCATCCATTCACTCAGGACTGACTGAGTACTTTCTGTTTGAGGCACTGCTGTGACCCCTGGGGCTACAGCAGAGAGTAAAAGATTTTTAATCCTGGTCAAACTGTCAGTTAAATAGAGGAGATAGAAAAAAATAAGAAAACAGTTCAGCACTCTCTCGGCAGCCTGAGATGATGTGCTCTGAAGGAAACAAACCAGAAATACCTTAGCGGTGAGGGGAAGGGTGGCAGCCTGAAGCTGTTTGGGTTTGAGTAGGAGTCTGGAAGCCTTCTCTGGAGACACAGCCCTGAGCTGGAAGCCCAGGGCAGAGGAGTGCATTCATTCCAAGGAGGGGCAAAATGACTGCAAAGTCCAGGAGGTGGGAATGGGCTTGGAAGACTTGAAGAAAAGAAAGATGAATGCATCTGAAGCCTTGGGAGGGAGGGAGAGAATGAGGGGGCACCAAGTTGAAGGAAAAGCCTCAGTGTTTATTAATTCATTTGTATATTCATTGTTTACCGTGCAGCAGAGTCTCTGTGGATCTGAAACTGGCTTATAACTTACTGCGTAGCCAGTAGCCTCAGGCTCACCATCTTCCTGTCTTAGCCTCCCGAGTGCTGGGATTTCAGGTATACACCACCATGCCTAGATTTAAAGCACAATGCTGTTCTGCTTCTCATTCCTTATTCCCCAGTTCCTCCTTCCAAACACTCACAGTATTGGTTCTGACGGACCCATGGTGGCATCCGTTACTTACTGAATAATAGCGATGTGCTACGCTCAGAGCCAGATGGTTTCCATACATAATAGAATTAAGTCACATCAGCCCTGCCAAACAGCTACAGAGCTATCCCTTCTCATTCATGGACAAGTCTCAACAGATACAAGAAAATTGAAATAACTCTCTGAACCTGCTGGATATCAACAACAACCGAAGCAGGATGCTAGGTTAAATCTGAATTTCAAGTAGATGATAATTATTTTTACTTGTAAGCATATCTTAAATGCTGTGTGGGACATACTTACATGAGAGCATTACTCTTTGCTTATTTAAAATCCAAATTTAGCCTATCATCTTCCATTTTATTTGGCTTGCTGATCCCAAGTCTTTTAAGAAGAAGAGCAGAAGGGTGAGCAGGGATTTGCCAGGGATGCAGAAGTGCAGGAGAACCCTGGGAAACTTAGCTTGCAGTTTCATGTTCCAACAATGCAGTTATTGCAACCATTCTTATATTTTTTGGACAATGAAGGCTCAAAATACAACTTTATAGAGTTTCGGAGAACACTTAGAGCCCAGTCTTCTCTCCAACATCTTCTTTCTCCACTCAACCTCTAGTTACTCTTAGTAAGATCATGTCCGTCCCAGAGCCTGAAATTGAATGAGATTTCCCAAGTAGAACAAGCAAGCAACATGCAAATGTTGAACACTCAGAACTTTCTGGTCTTTACTGGACTTACAAGCAGGCCTGAGTCACTCACAGCCAGGGACGCTGCCCCGGACTCAAGGGCTTTTGGTAACGGATGGGTGTGGCTGTGAGGCTGACCTTTCAGAGCTGAACAGAAAATAACAGATCAGCATGGAAGTTCATCACCCTTTCAGGCCTGAGTCTTCTGGAATCAGAGGACCTTCTCAAATCCTCAGTTCTACAACACCAAGGCCTACAAAGGACTCAGCGCTTCTAGAGACTAAAAGACTCTAAAAGGAAAATTCCAGAAAGACAAGGTTAGAATCTTTTCCCTACTCTACAGCAGTGGAATGGATCTGTTACTTAGGATAGATCTTTACTAACAGTAATTGAACTGAAACAAGGAACAGGGACTGCCCATGTAGGCCTTGTGCCAGGAAGCTGGCAAAATAACTCAATGGATAATACACATATCCTACAACTCTGGGCTCAGAATTTAGAGCCCCAAATCAGTGTATAAGCCGGGTAGTTATGGCAACCCACCTGTAATCTCAGCATGTAGGAGGCAGAAACAGGGTGCTATCAATGGTTTATAAATTAAGTAGTGAGCCCAACCAGGCTAAATATTTGCTAAGGCTATGTTCTTAGGAAGTGACAATATTTGTGCCCAGCGCTGATCTCAAGGCATAAGGTCATAACTCTTGAAATATGGTTGGAAATAATCTTTCTTAAACAGCACTCCATTCCATGACCTCATTCTACAGATAAAGAGACGTGTGGCCTAGCAGAGGGTTGAGAGCACGGGCTCAAGGCCAGAGAAGCTGAGTTTAGATTCCACCTGAACTTTATGACTGTGTGACCCTGAGCAAGAGTTTCCATGTAGCACATGGATAGAGATGGCACATGGATATCTGATGGCACAAGATAGAGAGAGCTATTGCGCAAGACTGTGTCTTCACAGTCTTGGGAGAATGTCCCAAAGTTTGGAGGGAAGTGAAAGGAGGCACACTGTATCCAGCAAGACTCCTTCCCAAAACTCTAGTCCTGGATGCCAAGTAGGCATGCAGGGGAGACATGCTATCTTAGAACTCTCAGTGACTCTCTAAACTGCTGGAATTTTTAGGAAGACAACCAGGTAATCACTGGTTTTCATGGCCCTTTTGAATTTTTATGCCAGATTGGGCTAATGCTTTGGTGGCCCAAGACCTCCAGATCCCGTTGGATGAGGGGTGTGTGTGTGTGTGTGTGTGTGTGTGTGTGTGTGTGTGTGTATTTAGTACATTTATGTGTTTAGTACATTTATGTGCATTTGCATGTAGAGGGCAATGGTCAATCTTGAGTGCCATTTCTTAGATTGCTGTCCACCTTGTTTTTTGAGACAGCCTCTCATTGTCCTAGAGCTCAATGATTTAGCTAGGTTAGCTAGTCATTAAACCTCAGGTTCTGCCTGTCTTTGTCTCCCCAGATCTGGGATTACACGTATATGTCAGAGTGGTTGGCTTCTTCTATTTTTTTAATGTGGGTTCTAGGGGTTGAACTTTGGTTCTCATGCTGACTAGGTTATTTTCCAGTCCTTCCTCTTCCCCCTTTTAACCTTAAGACTATTTATCTGAAATAAATACAGAAGCAAGGGGAAGATAAAGTCACAAAATGTTCAGGAGGCCAGGTATATGGCACATGGAGGCAAGAGAATCTCTGTGAGTTCAAGGCTATCCTGGTCTACAAAGCAAGTTCCAGGCCAGCCAGGGTCACACGGTAAGACCCAGTCTCAAAATAACCAAACAATAAAAATAATACAAAATGTGCAGGGGTTGGACCTTGAAAATAGTTAAATTGGATTTTTTTTTTTTTTTTTTTTAGTTTTTCGAGACAGGGTTTTTCTGTGACTTTGAAGCCTGTTCTGGAACTAGCTCTTGTAGACCAGGCTGGCCTCGAACTCACAGATATCTGCTTCTGCCTCCCAAGTGCTGGGATTAAAGGTGTGCACCACCACCGCCTGGCCTTAAATTGGATATTTTAGGATGGCTGGTGTACTAGTAAATGAAGCCTCTGGCATCTAAGGATTAGCTTTCCGTGAGTGAGTAGGATAGCCCTGAAAAATCCCTGTCCTTTAGGCTGTGTTCATTAATCACTTGCTTTGTGCCTGACATTGTACAGGATCCCAGGATAAATACCTAATAAAGAAGGTCCTTGACGCATCACTTCAGGAAGGGGACCAGCTATGACAGAGGGTGTTCCCAAGGAAGTGACTGTTGAGCTGAGATCTGAAGAGTGAGTGGAGCTGACTTAGGCAGGAGACCAAGCAGACCTGCTCTAGAGCTGTCCAAGTTAATAACCAGCAGGGGAATTGGGTGGCTCATGGGGATCTTTGTCAGAACTGCCAGTAAATTTCCACAAGCTGCAGGATTTGGTTGGCTTGTTTCGGTTTGGGTTTTTGAGGCAGAGTCTCTGTAGTTCAGGTGACCTGTGACTGGACCCTGTAGTTCACTTAGGCTTAGATCTCTCACAGACCTTCTAGACTTCTGGATTTTTAGAACAATCAGGTAATCACTGTTAGCATTTTCAGTAATGGGACAATCTCCTGCTAGAAAATCTGAAGAAAAACATTGCATTAGTAATGCTTCTGTGAGGATGTGGAACCAAATCTAATTGTGAAGCCATAGTAGACAACCAGGCGTGGTGGCTTGCGTCTAATTCTGTCACTTGGGGAGCTGAGACAAGAGAATTGCCAAGAGTTTGAGGTCATCCTGGGCTACCCCAGGGACTTCTAGGCCATCATGGGATGCCAAATGAGTCAATCAGTCTGTCTATCTCTCTCTCTCTCCCTCCTCCCCCAGAGTATAGTTAACACAATTTAGCAAACTCATGGGGAGGATTAAATAAGTTAAAATGGAAAGGCATTTCTGTAAAATATTTGTGGGTTTGTCTGATTTTCCAAAAATATATTTCTTCAAATCCACCAACTTTCCAGAAAACAAAGACAGACTGAGCAGCGGTCTCAGCTGGGAGCGGACTAGAGAGACAGAATTCCATGGGTGTACATGAGACACCTGGAAAACACCGCATCTGAACTGCTAGGTGATTGTCTTATGTGGGCGTTGTGCTTCTCAAATTCCACCACTGTACTGTGGATATGGAAGAAATGTCCTGTTCTGGAAATACAGAATGAAGGCTGTATGAACTAAAGGGCGTGCCTGAAACTTCCTTCTAACAGGTCACAGAAATAGAGGGAGAAGCAGACGCAACAAGATGTTACTAATTGGTGAATATGACTGAAAGGCACACGTTTTTTCGTAGTATTTCAAACTCCTGCTAGTTTTGAATATTCTTTTTTTTCTAAATAAAAAGTGCTAATAAATTGTCAATAAATAATAAGATTGACAATAAAATAGAGGGCGATTTCATGCCATGACTCGCCCAGGCTTGGTGGCCAACAGCGACTCAGCCCACTTGGACCCTTGAACCCCAGAGAGCTGTATACCCCCAGAGCCTCTCATACAAGGAGAGCATACCTCCTCTGTGTTGGGGACATTGGCGATCTTTTTGGAGTGTGCGACGTGACCCACCACACCCATGTCCAGAGGGAAGACGATCTCGGAGTCAGGCACCACCAAGCAGTCCTCCAGGACGGCATCCTTGTGGACATTGAAGAGCCTGGTGGCGAGCTCTGCGATGCCATTGCGGGTCCGGTACATGAACAGGCTCATGCGGTCAGCCTGCAGGAGGAAGCAGAGCTTCTTCATGACGTTGAATGTGCTTTTCTCAGCCTGGAGGTTCTCCTGAAAGTCCCGCAGCAGGTCAAAGATGATTTCACTCTCCTCCACGCTATTCACCGTGTGGTAGTTGCTGAAGTCCACCGCTGCCTCCTTGGCCCCGAGGAGGTCTGAGATGACCTTCCCCCGGTAGTGGTAATTATAGTATTGTTTGGCAAAGCCAATGTTTGAGTCCAGGAACTGCTCTACCTCCTCAGCTGTCACCTCACCCATGGTTGGGACTCCCTCTTGCTGCTCCCAAGGAAGAGTTCAGGCTCAGGCCTTTCCAGAGCCGTTTCCCAGCAAATTGAATTCAATGTGCCCCGTGTCGGTCTGGACCTCTCTGGGTCTTGTCTGTAAATCTCACTGAGAGGGCCACACGGGAGCCGGAGCAAGCAGAGAGATTAAGTCATTAATACTTCCTAAGAATAAAAATTATGAGGCTCAGCATGTTCCAGATGCCAGTGGGCTCTGGGAGAGAGAACAAGAGTGGCCTTTTCATCCTGGTCCGATAAGGGCTTAGAGAAGACATTCATCTGCACAGCACTCCTGCAGAGGATGTTACAGGCAGCTCGGGAACAGCCTGCTACCTACCCGTAAATGCGTCCTCTCTGCCCCCAGTGGCTTTCTTTGGACCTGTGACACCCACGCCTGACGATTACTGTTTAGGAGACTGGTTTGGCTTCTTGGTCAGTCAGAAGAGCTAACAGGAGTATCTACAGTCCTCCACACTGGAAGGGTTAGCACTTTGACATCGCCACCTGCGAGCCTCCCTACCCGTTCCTCCAACCCGAACCTTCCTCTCTTTTACTGTGATAAAATGCCCTGACAAATCGCAGCTTAGGGGGAAAAGGGTGTATTTGAGTGCACAGCTTCAGGTTACAGTTCATCACTTGCCGGGGTCGGGGGTCATAGCAGCAGGAGCCTGAAACAGCTGATCACATCGCATCCACAATCAAGAGCAGAGAGAATGAATGCAGGCACTCCCGCTTGCTCGCTTGCTCATGGTTCGACTTACCCATTCTACAGTTCAGATCCCCTGCCTAGGGAATAGTGTTGTCCAGAGTAGGCTGTCTTCTACATCAATTACCTTAATTAAGACAACCCCCAATCCCTCATTGAGACCGTCTTCCCAGGTGACTCTAGGTTGTGTCGATTTGACAGTTAAAGCTAGCCACCCACACTCACTCCCTCTTTCCCTAAGCCTCCCAAGTGTGGGGCTTCCGTTGCCATGGCTGCTCCAGGCTGCTTGTATTGTACACAGGTATATCATGGTCTAACCGACTCTTGGCCTGATTTCATAATTTCTGCACACAAGGCTTTCTTGGGTTTGTATTTCAATGGTTTCTAATTTTAGTATTCTAAAGGCCCTTGTAAAAAAAATAACACACCTTCCATAGTTTTATTATAAAAATAATATATGTTCTCTGTAGAAAATAATGCAAAAGGACAATTAAAAGTCCATGTGAACCTACTGCTTGGAGGTAACCTCTAGTTCACAACTGGTCCTTCCAGAGAGACTGACTTTTGAAAGTCTATTTCCTTTCAACTCAATCTTTTTTCCTGGTTGTCCTTTCCTCAATGCGCTTTCTCTGACTCTAGCCTGTGCCTCCTTGGGTCGTTCATCAGAAATGCACACCACAATCTGTGGGTTATCAACTCCAGAGACTCTAGAAACACCAGCATTCTTCTTGATGCGCCTCTTCTGCACAAAGGGAGAAGCACGCGCTCTTTCTTCATGAACCTTACCTTAGGTTCCATGACAGCCCTGTGCTGGGAGCAGTGCCTTGTCAATGCTGTGGAATGCATGACTGTAAGCAGTAGTGGCCCTTTGAACTTTGTAAAGGGACTTTATTGTAAAGTGAATTATGTCCTTCCTTGTAAAATGTAATAAATTCTTGGACCCATTTAGTACTATGTACAAAGGTACCCCTCTCCACCCAATGGTAAACCATGACTTCCGCACAGGTTAGTGCTGCAGAATTCTCAGCTCAGCAGATTTGTGGTTTTCATCGGTATCGTCATGTGTGACGGTAGTTCAGAATCCTCTTAGTGGGATGAACAAGTCACAATTTATTTATATATTATTTTTAAGGGGGGGTGCTCCTTACGCTGATAGTCCACATGACCGTCTGAACTTCTCTAAGCCAGACGTCTTTCCCAGTTCTACGCAGTCTGCAGACGGTCAGGCTTCAGTATCGCTCGTCATGTCTTGTTATCTTAGCCCAGAAAAGTTCACCACCTTCCCCCAGTTCCTGCCAAGCTTCCCATTCTATTTCCTTTACTGTGTTTATTCTTTCCAGAAATTCTCTTGGTTTCTCCCCTTGTTCTCCTCTCTGCCTTCCCCCATTGGACTGGGAGCTTCATGAGGACAGAGACCTATCATTGTTTGTTCCCTAAGCCTTCTTCTAGGGCTGTCTGGCACATCCTTGGGGTACAGCATTGTTTTGTTTTTATTTATAAGTTTTAAATGTTCTTGACTACTGAACCTTATGCAATATAGAAAGGCAAAAAAGAAAATTAAAGATGAAATGTTTTTTCATGCTTAAAGGTTTTTGAAATACTTGCATATGCCAAGACTAATGTGGTTTTCCCATCTTTGTCGGCTATCATGAACATCTTTCAAAGGTACTTCTCATCCACTGTAATGACTGCAGAATATTCCTCTATGTTGTGGCACCGTCTTCAACAGCAAGGGCTCCTCACTTCAGCCCCATTGACACCTTGAGTCCAATAGTTTTTCATACACACTAAAGATACTTATCTCAGTTTCCAGCCACTAAATGCCAGAGAAGTCCCTTGGAATTGCGATAATTAAGAATAACGTGGACATTTCCCTGTGTCCTCTGAGAGGTAAATGGGTCTCTATGGTTAGATATTTGGGTTTCTGTGCATGTGGGTGCTGGTGCCCATAGAGGCCAGAAGAGGGCGTTGGATCACATGGAGTTGGAATTACAGACAGTTGGGAACACCTGATATGGGTGCTGAGACTCGAACTCTGGTCCTTGACAAGAGCAGCAAGTGCTCTTAACTACTAAACCGTTTCTCCAGCCCCTATAGTTCAGGGTCTGATTTTTCTAGTACTACAAATGTTATAATCAGTATCCTTATTTTTTTTTTTATTAAAAGTACCTGTAAATAAAATTCTAGTCCCAAGAGCTTGTAGGTATCTAAGGATTTGAATAAATAATGACTTTTCCCTAAGGCTGTAGCCCAGTGAACAAAAGGCTGTTTCCACCGTCTGTACCAGCCTGTCGCCGATTTACCTGATATGAATAGTTCTACAGAATAGGACCCTCGTAGTCATTCTAAAATCCTGTATTATAGATACTAATTTTGCAGGCCAGTGGGTATGAACATACCATGGTGTCTGTGTGGAGGTCGGAAGATAATCTGTGGGAGTCAGCTCTCTCCTTCCACTGTGTGGGTCCTGGGGACTGAAATCAGGTCATCAGTCTTGGCTGTAAGTGCCTTTACCCGCTGAGCCATTTTGCTGGACCCTTTTATTGTTTTTTTTCACAACTTCCATGCACATATTCTAAGGTCCATTCTAATATTTTTTTTCATCCATTTGGGGATTTGAATTTTATTCTTGCTGTTCCCCACCAACCCTGAACCTTCTACTCAGCCTAAGTGCCACAGCCTCCAAGTATTGTTCTTTGATGTCCCAATACATTATTTTGGGACCCCCTCCCCAACCCATTGATTTCTTTCCTTTTCAAGGGAATTTCTACACAGGTTGTGCTATATCTGTACTTTCATACAGTTCAGTTCCTTGAGCATAAGACTAAAATTCTACTCAATCAATTAGGTATTTATTTTATTTTTTGAAATAATCTTGGTGCTTTGCCCAGGTTGAGCACAAGAGATCATCCTCAGCTTCCTGAGTACCTAGAACTTCGGGTGTGTATTTTGGCTTTAAACTAGGTCTAAAAGAGTGTCCCAAAGAGGCCAGCCCAGGACCTTTCCTATAGTGTGACACTAAGCTCGGTTCTGATTATGAATATTGACCTTGTTTTATAGGATGATATATTTTTACCACCTTTTTCAATGTACCAGAATGAGCAAAGCAAGGCTGTTGAAGAAACGTGGTCTTCAGTGGCAGCATGAGGTGGTGGATACTTTAGAAGGTAGGGTTGGAAGATATCAAGGACATGGAGCCTCCACTCTGCTGAAAAGATAGTGTTGTTGCTAGAATGTTCAACTTATGGGGCTCATCAACTGCTCTGAAGATGGAATGTTACAAGCAAGCCTACTGGATTTGGTTCTCAGTTTTCAGCACACAAAAATGACTGCTGAACTTGCCTAAAGGTGAGATGGTCCTTCGGGGTTCCTGCTTCATGAAAGAGTCTGCCAGACTTTCTGCAGGACACAGAAGAAAGTGACTGACAAACTGCCAATATAAGCAAAACAGTCTTTTAAATTTCCTGCTTCATGAAAAAGTCTGCCAGATACTATGGGCCTAGAGCTAATGATGGATGCCCCAGCGTTACAGAAGAACTTTTGGTGACTTTCCAGGCAATGAGATGTCTCTGTCAATTCTAGAGTTTTGGAGGTTGCTTATCATGCACTTTCTGTTTACTTAGGTAATATTATATCCTTCTGGGGTCTTTGATGAAGTTGAAGACAGATAGTTGTAAATATAGTTTTCCTTAGTTATGATAAAGGATAAATTAGATATAAAAATTAAACTCACAAAAAATATTGTAACCGTTATTCTTGCTTGATACCTGTTTTATTATATGTAATTTTACTATGTTAAAGTTTAAATTTTCCTTTTTATTTAGACAGAAAAGGGAAGATAATGTAGGATTCCCCTATGTACTCTGTGAATATGTTTTATTCCCATTGGTTAATAAAGACGCTGCTTTGACTTATGGCAGGGTAGAATATAGCAGGGTGGGAAATCCAAGCAGAGACAGAGAAGGAAAGAAGGCAGAGTCATAGAGACATCATGTAGTCACCCAAGATGCAAGAGGTAACAAACCAAGAGCTTTGTGGTAAAATTTAAAGTAATAGAAATGGCTTAATTTAAGATATAAGAGTTAGTTAATAAGAAGCCTGAGTTAGTAAGCCAAACAGTGTTGTAATTAATAAAGTTTCTATGTGATTTGGGTGGCTGGGAAATCAAATCAGACTCTCAGCTTACACAAGGCAGCTCAAGTCCTCTTCACAGCCCTCACCACTTCAACCAAGTCTCCAGCAGGAGATAGCATCTAATGTGAGCCAAGCAAATGTCAGAATAACGTTCCTAGACCTCCAGGAGTATGAGCTCCATAAACCTCCGTGTGTGTGTGTGTGTGTGTGTGTGTGTGTGTGTGTGTGTGTATGCATGTGTGTGATGTGTGCCTGGGCGTGTGCATGTATGCGTGTATGTGCATATGTGTGCACAAGTGCACATGT